ACAAAATAACTTACATCCGTACACTGCTCTCTGGCATTCAGTTTCAGGCCCGCTGTCATAACCCCGCCTTCTCCTCTCTATTCTCCGAACCCTCAATCAAACTCCTCATCAAAGGCATTCACAAATGTACTCCCCACTCTTCTGATCACAGGCTCCCCATCACGCTGCCCATCCTGGAACAGCTCTGCGCCACGCTGAACTCTGGCTCTCTTTCCAAGTACACGTCTGCCCTCCTTCGCAGCGCGTTCCTGCTCGCCTTCTATGGCTTTCTCCGCATAAGCGAGTTCACCACTGCTCACTCGACTTTTAATGCGGCCCTAGACATTGCTTTTTCCGATCTGTCCCATTACCCTGACCATTTCAACCTTCATCTCAAACATTCAAAGATCAAAAGGTGCCTGCAACATAATAATAGCTCGCTCCGACACATCTCTCTGCCCCTACAAGTCCATGATGCGTTACACTCGCCTCCGCTGCAAAAAAGGAGATTTTAACGGACCTCTATTTCTCACTCCAGACAACCTTCCCATGACAGCAACCTGGTTCAGAGCTCAGCTAAGATCCCTACTGCTCCTCTGTAATTTGTCTCCCCAGCTCTATACAGCCCACTCCTTCAGGATAGGCGCTGCCACGCGCGCGGCCTCGCTGGGGCTCCCCCACTCTTCTCTGCAACAGCTGGGGCGCTGGTCCTCTTCGGCTTTCTCCACCTACATCAGGCCAGATGCGACCGCTATCCTGGCAGCACAACGTCTACTGGCTTCCTCGTAAGCTCCCAGCAAAGCATCCATCCATCCATCCATTTTCCACCCTTTAATCCATTTCTGGGTCAGGGGGGTGGCAGTCAGAGATGCCACCCAAGTCTCAGAGCACCAGCCCCTCACTGACCCTCTGCAGGTGGTGAGTCCACAGGAGGACAGCTGCTCTCTGAGTGTGAGCATAGCCTTGATCTTTCAGTGGGGGCTTTGGGCAAAGTGGGGTTAAGTGTCTTGCCCAAGGACACAACGACAGCAGTCATCAGTGGGAGTCAGTGGAGAAGGTGCAGAGGTGGGAATTGAACCCACAACCTTCTGGCCTTAAGGCCAATGCTCTACCAACTGAGCTACTGTCGCCCCAGCAAAGCAATGCAAAGCAAAAGTAAGTAAAGCAATGAGATTCTGGTGGCGGCACGCACTTTCCTCAAACGCTCTCCGCTGCTGCAGCGTCTGGCTGAACATGATGCGCTCATGTTCTCAGCTCGCTCAAAGATGCCCCTGCTGCAGCGTCTGGCTGAACATGATGCATGCGCCCATGTTCTCAGCTCGCTCAAAGATGCCCCTGCTGCAGCGTCTGGCTGAACATGATGCATGCGCCCATGTTCTCAGCTCGCTCAAAGATGCCCCTGCTGCAGCGTCTGGCTGAACATGATGCGTGCGCTCATGTTCTCAGCGCGCTCAAAGATGCCCCTGCTGCAGCGTCTGGCTGAACATGATGCGTGCGCTCATGTTCTCAGCGCGCTCAAAGATGCCCCTGCTGCAGCGTCTGGCTGAACATGATGCATGCGCCCATGTTCTCAGCTCGCTCAAAGATGCCCCTGCTGCAGCGTCTGGCTGAACATGATGCGTGCGCTCATGTTCTCAGCGCGCTCTGCCCAAACAAACGCGGGCCCCAGCGGACGCAGCCTGGCTGAGCGACCGTGCGAGAAGCCTCTCAGGCCTGCGCAGTGCGTCCTGCTATCCCAATCGCAGGCCCGCTTTTTGGGGGATTATGCGCGCGAGCAAGCGCCGCGCTCAACAGCATCTCTCCCGGGCCTAGGGCGCCAAACATGCTTAATCTAATAAACATGCTTAAATCTAATAACTCTAACTGCATTTTTCCTTATGGGTCTCTCCAAGGTGAATTAGTAAGGTTATGAGGCTGTTTTTAGGTTTAGACAAATGTTGACTGTTCTCATGCACTTGTGTTGGACCGACATCTCTGGACTTCAGCAGATTCCAAATAAAGACAATAAATTCAAATATTGACTTTTTAATTTTCTACTTTGCAGCTGTTTGATCATTAGATTTTAAATATTTTCCTTCTCTGTTCTCCCCCTCACTGCTCTCTCTCTTGTCTCTGTCTGGTCTCTCTTTCTCATCTATCTCCATCATCTCTCTCCTTAATGTATCTCTGGTCTCTCTCTCATCTCTCTCTGGTTTCTCTCTCCTTCAAGTCAAAATAAAACATAATTTACACCACTGCGCCAGTGAGCTAGCTCCTGTCTTCAGTGACATTTTCAACACCTCTCTGGAGTCTTGCCATGTCCCGGCCTGCTTCAAATCCTCCATCATCGTCCCCGTCCCGAAGAAGCCCAGGATCACAGGACTCAATGACTACAGACCTGTAGCACTTACGTCTGTCGTCATGAAGTCATTTGAACGCCTGGTTCTCTCCCATCTCAAGTCCCTCACCTCCCCCCTCCTGGAGCCCCTGCAGTTCGCCTACAGAGCCAACAGATCTGTAGACAACGCCATTAACCTGGCCCTCCACCACATCCTACAGCATCTGGACTCCCCGGGGACCTACGCAAGAGTCATGTTCCAGGACAAGCTCTCCCAGCTCAACGTGCCCGATTCCACCTGCAGGTGGATCACTGACTTCCTGACAGACAGGAAGCAGCGAGTGCGTCTGGGGAAGAATATCTCGGACTCTCGGATTATAAATACAGGAACCCCACAGGGCTGCGTTCTTTCTCCCCTGCTCTTCTCCCTGTACACCAACCACTGCACCTCCAGCCACGACTGTGAAGCTGATCAAGTTCGCGGATGACACCACCCTCATTGGACTCATCAACAACAATGAGTCCGCCTACAGGAGGGAGGTGGACCGGCTGGTGTCCTGGTGCAGTGGTGACAACCTGGAGCTGAACGCCCAGAAGACAGTGGAGATGATTGTGGACTTCAGGAAGAGCACTGTCCCCCCGCCCCCACCCTCCGTGATGGACTCCCCCATAACCTCTGTGGAGTCCTTTCGTTTCCTGGGCACCACCATCACCCAGGACCTCAAGTGGGAGCCGACCATCAGCTCCCTCATCAAGAAGGCCCAGCAGAGGATGTACTTCCTGCGGCAGCTCAGGAAAGCCAACCTGCCTGCACAGATGTTGGTGCAGTTCTACACGGCCATCATCGAGTCTGAAGGTGTACGTCGCCCGAGCTCGAGGCCGGGCTGGTCGTATCACAGCCGACCCCTCTCACCCTGCACATGGACTGTTCCAACCACTCCCCTCAGGCAGGAGACTACGGCCCATCAGGACTAGAACCTCCCGCCACAAGAACAGTTTCTTCCCCTCTGCTGTTGGACTCTTGAACACTTCTTAACCTGTCCCCCCGCCCTTTATAAAGTCACTTTACTGCCCATCATACGTCACTTTACTTCACTGTACTGCTGTCACCTTACATTGTGTGCACCATGTGCACTGTATTGTATATAGTAGTTGTAACAATTTTAAATGTATTCCTTAGAAGTGCTTTTAATTTTTATTTTTTATTTTTATTATTCCTTCTCTAGCCTTACCTCTCTCTCTGACTGTTGCACTGAGCCAAAGCAATTTCCAAGTCTGTGACTTCCTCTTACTTACGTGGCAATAAAAATGATTCTGATTCTGATACAAATACTGTTAAAAGAGAGTCAATGCTCGATTTTACTTTACATATTTTAATCCCATTATTCTTTGCGGCTAATGCGTTTCTCACGGATTTTACACTGGGAAAATATACAGTCTTTGGTCAATTCAAAGAAATGTATAATTTCATCTAACAAAGTAAAAAAATTATTTTAAAATTCTATTCAAAAATGGCCGTGGCTTTTTCTCTCAAAACAGGCAAATAATGAAGCACAGAAATTCAATGTACAGTTTCAGGTGAAGGAAAGATAAACGTTAATTAAAGCCACAAGCGGCTCCCGTAGCTATAAAACAAGGTTTGCAAAATTGTATGGGTTTCCTGTTTATCAGGGGGCGTGGCCATAAAAACTTATTTTTTCATGTCTTGACTTGAGGAACATGTGAACCGAATTTCATGGCGCTACGACAAACTTGACCTCTGACCCCCTCCCATAGGCGCAATGTAAACGGACTTTTATAGAGTGTGCTGTTCTGGCATTTTTTTAGTCCCATAAAAATAAACACCAAAGAAGTAAAATTTTTGCCCGTTCTGAATTTTGGGAAAAATTTGGCAAGTTTTCATGCAAGTTCAGTCAAATTAAGGCTCAAAGGGCAGAAGAATTTTCAAAAGTCTATATTGTTTTTCGAAAAAATCTAGGTTTCAATGGCACGTGTTACATAATTTTAAAGCGTTTGAGTTTACCCACGCAACCGTCACGTTTTTGGTGAGTGACAGACTCACCGCCACCCCTTGCATTCACCATTGTGAAAGCAATAGGCTCTTACCCCGTTCGAGGCTCGGGCCGAATAACATTGACGTGTGGATGTTACATTGGATTTGGTTCGGGCAAAAGTAGTTAAGAAATGGAATGAAAAACACAAAAACAATGTCCATGATGTGGTGTATTTACATGAATCTGTTCAGGTAAAAACAGATCAAGTGCAGTCGGAAGCAAAATGTTATTGTTGTAACTGGTTATTGTTATGAAATATAATCTATAATCCAAGAGAAAGAAAAATACAAATTGAGGGGAGGTAGATTAAAACTAGAGACTGTTGTTTGTATATGTGTGCGAGTATGTTTGTCTCTTGTTTTGTTTAAAATTAGATTAAGATTTACAACTGTAATCGAGTTAATGACATCTTGAAAAGGAATTGATCGTAATTAATTGCATTTCGAACCATCAGCAAAATTGTGCCATATTTATCTGTAAATGGTTGTTTACAGATAAATGACATAAGTACTGTATTTGTTTCAAAAAGTTCAAAATGCATTTCTTTACAATTAATTATTTTGAAAGATGTAATTAACTCGATTAAAATGTGAATCGTTTGACAGCCCAACTTTACGACAAACAAACACAAGGGAAAGTTTAACACTGACCTCAAGTCGTTCAAATTCCGAAGTACTTCCTGTTGTGTTGCGAGGACCGAGCTCAGCTGTGCATTAGAATCCAACTGTGACACAAAGACAATCCACACGTCAGAAAATGAAAAGACCAGAGTTCATGGTTTCTGTTCAGATTCAGATTCATTTCATTTGCAGTAAAAAAAAAAAGCTCTGGTCTCCCTCTCTCTGGCCTCTCTCTCTCTCTCTCTGGCCTCTCTCTCTCTCTCTGGCCTCTCTCTCTCTCTCTCTGGCCTCTCTCTCTGGCCTCTCTCTCTCCCTCTCTGGCCTCTCTCCCTCTCTGGCCTCTCTCCCTCTCTGGCCTCTCTCCCTCTCTGGCCTCTCTCCCTCTCTGGCCTCTCTCCCTCTCTGGTCTCCCTCTCTGGTCTCCCTCTCTGGTCTCCCTCTCTGGTCTCCCTCTCTGGTCTCCCTCTCTGGTCTCCCTCTCTGGTCTCCCTCTCTGGTCTCCCTCTCTGGTCTCCCTCTCTGGTCTCCCTCTCTGGCCTCTCTCCCTCTCTGGCCTCTCTCCCTCCCTCTCTGGCCTCCCTCTCTGGTCTCCCTCTCTGGTCTCCCTCTCTGGTCTCCCTCTCTGGTCTCCCTCTCTGGTCTCCCTCTCTGGTCTCCCTCTCTGGTCTCCCTCTCTGGTCTCCCTCTCTGGTCTCCCTCTCTGGTCTCCCTCTCTGGTCTCCCTCTCTGGTCTCCCTCTCTGGTCTCCCTCTCTGGTCTCCCTCTCTGGTCTCCCTCTCTGGTCTCCCTCTCTGGTCTCCCTCTCTGGTCTCCCTCTCTGGTCTCCCTCTCTGGTCTCCCTCTCTGGTCTCCCTCTCTGGTCTCCCTCTCTGGTCTCCCTCTCTGGTCTCCCTCTCTGGTCTCCCTCTCTGGTCTCCCTCTCTGGTCTCCCTCTCTGGTCTCCCTCTCTGGTCTCCCTCTCTGGTCTCCCTCTCTGGTCTCCCTCTCTGGTCTCCCTCTCTGGTCTCCCTCTCTGGTCTCCCTCTCTGGTCTCCCTCTCTGGTCTCCCTCTCTGGTCTCCCTCTCTGGTCTCCCTCTCTGGTCTCCCTCTCTGGTCTCCCTCTCTGGTCTCCCTCTCTGGTCTCCCTCTCTGGTCTCCCTCTCTGGTCTCCCTCTCTGGTCTCCCTCTCTGGTCTCCCTCTCTGGTCTCTCTCTCTGGTCTCTCTCTCTGGTCTCTCTCTCTCTGGTCTCCCCCTCTCTGGTCTCCCCTTCTGGTCTCTCTCTCTCTCTGGTCTCTCTCTCTGGTCTCTCTCTCTCTGGTCTCCCCCTCTCTGGTCTCCCCCTCTCTGGTCTCCCCTTCTGGTCTCTCTCTCTCTCTGGTCTCTCTCTCTGGTCTCCCTCTCTGGTCTCCCTCTCTGGTCTCCCTCTCTGGTCTCCCTCTCTGGTCTCCCTCTCTGGTCTCCCTCTCTGGTCTCCCTCTCTGGTCTCCCTCTCTGGTCTCCCTCTCTGGTCTCCCTCTCTGGTCTCCCTCTCTGGTCTCCCTCTCTGGTCTCTCTCTCTGGTCTCTCTCTCTGGTCTCTCTCTCTGGTCTCTCTCTCTGGTCTCTCTCTCTCTGGTCTCCCCCTCTCTGGTCTCCCCTTCTGGTCTCTCTCTCTCTCTGGTCTCTCTCTCTGGTCTCTCTCTCTGGTCTCTCTCTCTGGTCTCTCTCTCTGGTCGTACCTGCCCAGACTCGGCCTGGACTCCCCTCTTGGACACCTGGTCAGTGATCACAGACACATATCGGCGCTGCTCGTCCAGGATCATGGCCAACTGTCTGTGCAGCTGCTTGATCTCCAGATGGATCCGGTTCTGGCCTTCGAACACCTGACGGATCTCCCGGTCGTTCACGGACTCGTACAGGTCCTCAACTGAGAGAAAGAAAGACATACTTCATTCAGAAAGGATTTCACATAACTTACTGTGCAATAATAACTTTGATCATGTCAGAATGTGCAATATAGAACCAGTCACTGTGTCCCATGTACAGATGTAAACATACAAATATATAAAACTTCAACTAATACTATTTTATACTTGCTTCTTAGGTCAGAGCTTTTAGATTTGCTTTCTTATTAGGCTAAAGCTAGCGATTTTAAACTTTCTTCTTTATAATGCTAATGCAACTGGTCTCCCTCTGGTCTCCCTCTGGTCTCCCTCTGGTCTCCCTCTGGTCTCCCTCTGGTCTCCCTCTGGTCTCCCTCTGGTCTCTCTCTGGTCTCTCTCTGGTCTCTCTCTGGTCTCTCTCTGGTCTCTCTCTGGTCTCTCTCTGGTCTCTCTCTGGTCTCTCTCTGGTCTCTCTCTGGTCTCTCTCTGGTCTCTCTCTGGTCTCTCTCTGGTCTCTCTCTGGTCTCTCTCTGGTCTCTCTCTGGTCTCTCTCTGGTCTCTCTCTGGTCTCTCTGGTCTCTCTCTGGTCTCTCTCTGGTCTCTCTCTGGTCTCTCTCTGGTCTCTCTCTGGTCTCTCTCTGGTCTCTCTCTGGTCTCTCTCTGGTCTCTCTCTGGTCTCTCTCTGGTCTCTCTCTGGTCTCTCTCTGGTCTCTCTCTGGTCTCTCTCTGGTCTCTCTCTGGTCTCTCTCTGGTCTCTCTCTGGTCCCTTTCTGGTCTCTCCGGCCCCTTTCTGGTCTCTCCCTGTCTCTGGGACTGAATACCATGAAACCTCCAGAGAAAGTGACTGACTTGGTTCTCCTTGTACTTCTGGGTGCTCTTTCTGGAACTCCTCTTTCTTCTTGTCCAGTTCTTGTTGAAAGTTTTGAAATTCTTCCTGATACTTGTCCTTCTCTTCTTTGGGGATCTCCGACTCAGGGGCAGGCTGCGGAACATAAAAAACACAAAAATACAAATGTCTCAAAGCTAAAACTTGTGTCCAGAATATATCTATTTTTTTATTTTGTTTGTACTCACGGGTTGTTGTTGTCCTGGTTCTGTGAGACTGAATAATAAAAAGGACAAAACGTCATGGTCATCTAAAAGAGAAACCAAAATATTTTAAATACTACAGCTCTCATTTATGGACGTCTATAAACATGGACCAAAGGATCTCTGTGTTTTGCTTCTTTTCTCGCACTCTGCTCTCTGCTCTCTCTCGCCCGCTGCTCTCTCTCGCCCGCTGCTCTCTCTCGCCCGCTGCTCTCTCTCGCCCGCTACTCTCGCCCGCTACTCTGCTCTCTCGTCCGCTACGCTGCTCTCTCTCGCCCGCTGCTCTCTCTCGCCCGCTGCTCTCTCTCACCGCTCTCTCGTCCGCTGCTCTCTCTCGCCCGCTACTCTCTCGCCCGCTGCTCTCTCGCCCGCTACTCTCTCTCGCCCGCTGCTCTCTCTCGCCCGCTACTCTCTCGCCCGCTGCTCTCTCGCCCGCTGCTCTCTCGCCCGCTGCTCTCTCTCGCCCGCTACGCTGCTCTCTCTCGCCCGCTACGCTGCTCTCTCTCGCCCGCTACGCTGCTCTCTCTCGCCCGCTACGCCGCTTCTCTCTCGCCCGCTACGCCGCTACTCTCTCGCCCGCTGCTCTCTCGCCCGCTGCTCTCTCGCCCGCTGCTCTCTCGCCCGCTGCTCTCTCGCCCGCTGCTCTCTCGCCCGCTGCTCTCTCGCCCGCTGCCCGCTGCTCTCTCTCGCCCGCTGCTCTCTCGCCCGCTACTCTCTCTCGCCCGCTGCTCTCTCTCGCCCGCTGCTCTCTCTCGCCCGCTGCTCTCTCTCGCCCGCTACTCTCTCTCGCCCGCTACTCTCTCTCGCCCGCTACTCTCTCCCGCTGCCCTCTGCTCTCTCTCGCCCGCTGCCCTCTTCTGCTCTCTCTCGCCCGCTGCCCTCTCTGCTCTCTCTCGCCCGCTGCCCTCTCTGCTCTCTCTCGCCCGCTGCCCTCTCTGCTCTCTCTCGCCCGCTGCCCTCTCTGCTCTCTCTCGCCCGCTGCCCTCTCTGCTCTCTCTCGCTGCTCTCTCTCGCCCGCTGCTCTCTCTCGCCCGCTGCTCTCTCGCCCGCTGCTCTCTCTCGCCCGCTACTCTCTCTCGCCCGCTACTCTCTCGCCCGCTGCTCTCTCTCCCGCTGCTCTCTCGCCCGCTGCTCTCTCTCCCGCTGCTCTCTCGCCCGCTGCTCTCTCTCGCCCGCTACGCTGCTCTCTCTCGCCCGCTGCCCTCTCTGCTCTCTCGCCCGCTGCCCTCTCTCTGCTCTCTCTCGCCCGCTGCCCTCTCTGCTCTCTCTCGCCCTCTGCCCTCTCTGCTCTCTCTCGCCCTCTGCCCTCTCTGCTCTCTCTCGCCCTCTGCTCTCTCTCGCCCTCTGCTCTCTCTCGCCCGCTGCTCTCTCTCGCCCGCTGCTCTCTCTCGCCCGCTGCTCTCTCTCGCCCGCTGCTCTCTC